CTAATTATATACTATATACTGTATGTACTGTACGTACTGTACGTACTGTACGCGAAAAAAATTGGGCTATCATATAAATGGCACATCACTAGTAGTGAAATATAAATAAGAATCAAAAGCACAGACCCATGCTATAGTGTGGTGCATTCTACTTTAATAAAGTGAGCCCATGTTATAGTGTGGTGCTATGCATAAAGTGCTAGATACAACGAATAAGTGGAGCAGGGGAGGTTGGTCTAACACGAAGGAGCCAGATTATAATCAGGCAGCGAAGAGAACAAGTGACGAAGTAAACAAGAACTGAGATTCAATATTACTTCCACACGTATCATTATATTCTCTGCCGATGCATCAATATGCATATCTATCGCATGCAATTATATGCGTACGTATATATGTACATATTATCTTTTCATATAAACTCTATTACATATAAGCTACAAATCTGAAATTTTCATTTATTTGATAAATTTTTATTAGCCTAAATTTAACTAAAAAATAACATTAATAAAAAAAATAGATAACACTTATTTTTAACTCATTATTATTCCTTTGACATAAAAAATTTCAATTACAAGAGGCATTTTTAAGTAAGTTATATATATATATTTGTATGCTGACATGTAGTAAGTATACAAAAAAGCTGAGTATAATAAAAAATTAATAAAATAAAGTTTGGAAATAACTTTGTGAATAATAGATATAGAAGTTTTCTTTGAAAATTTTTAACAATTAAAGTTTTAAACACTTTAAAAATTCATTTTAAATTTTGAAATTTCACATATGCAAAACTTAAAATCTTCTTGGGCTTCTTTGCCATATATCATATGCTTTCTCAAAATTAAAATCTTCTAGTTTTGGCCCATTCATAACGATTATAATATGTGAATTAAGTGTTTTAAGTTTCATCTGATTTCGGATTTTTGTTTTTATAAGATTTTGTTGAGAAAAAATTCTTTCAACATAGCCATTTGAAAGTGGAATAATTAAAGAAAAAAAAATGATTTCAGCTACATTTGGATAGAGTATAGCAAATTGAGAGCTATCAAAAATTCATCTCCATCCTTCAACAAAACCTAATTCTTTATAATTTTTTAAAACTAATTTTGCTTCACGCTATTCTTTAAGAAGTTCTATTCTATTTACTTTTGCTAGAAAATTTATATCATTATATTGTTTAAATTTTCCATAAAAATCGCCTAAAAGTTGAATTTCATTTTTTCCAAATGTTACCATTTCTCGAGGGCTTGTTGGAATTTGTGAAAAATCAAAAATTCGCATAGCAAAATAAATACCAACATCAGGAAATCTTCGACAAAGATTTTTAATAAATGATAATGCGAATTCTTTAAATACTGAAAGCAATTCATCATATTCAATAGTATCACACATATATTCTCATAAAAAGTATCCACAAGTTGGTGCAATATCATCATCTTCATATCCAATAAATTCTAATGTAATTGATTCAATTGCTACATTTAATTGTATATATACATCAGATAATGCAACATAATCTGATTGAAAGATCTTTGTAAGCTTACTAATTATTGAAAGAAGATTAGCAAGGTATTTAGTCGCTAATATAAATTCTGAATCAATATTATCATATAAAGCTTTTGCTCATTGTCTAGTTTTTATACAAGGATCATTAAAAGTTTCATTATAAAGTGCATCTTTTATAGAAAAGATTATTTGATGTAAATTGGAAACTGCATTAGAAAGCAATAACCATCGAGTACTAACAACACATAGTATAGATAATTGAGGATCTTCATTATCTAGTGACTGAAATAATTTAAGATGTTTCCATTTTTGATGTGATATTGCAAAATATGCATAAATTTCTTTTAATGTGAATTCATAACCTTTAAAATATGGGACTTTTTCAGCTGAATCTTTGCCAACTAAGTTTAATCTATGTGCTATACAATGACAATTTGTCATAAATAGGTTAATTTCTTTTAATCGGGTAGCTACACCAGTTTTGTTTCCTATACAGTATATAAATTATTAAAGTTATAGTAATAAAATAAATAAATAAATTATAGAGTAATATATTGATACATACCAATCATAACACTAGCACCGTCACTGCCAAAATGCATTAATTTCTGAGTATCAAGCATTTTAGCAATTAAAAAATTTTTTTAATTATTTACTATAGCCTCCACATTTGTTTCATCTAGTTCAATTAACCCTAAATATCGAAGTACTGGTATATTTTCTACAATATGTTTGCTAACAATAGCATATGTTTTATCATGTATTATTGTATTACTCTCATCAATTAATATACTTCATGATGGAGATTTTCGAACTTCAGCTAAAATATCTTCTTCAATTACTACTGCAATAGTATATAAAAACTCAGCTCCTGCTTTTGGATTATCATATGTTGCATAATTTGATAACTGGTCATTTAAAGGTGATTCAGATGTGGTATTTAAAATAATTCTTTTAGAACCAAAAATAGGAGGTGCAACGGTAATTGGAGATTTGTTATATACTAACTCAGTTTGATTTTGAACTTGTAAATTGGTTAGTTCTATTAAATTTGGAAATACTTCAACTGCAAGATGCCTTTTTGCACATAGATATACACAACGCATTTTAGCAATTATATCTAATTTATTAACTCTAGCTTGTACTGTAAAACTACTCATTAAATCTAGTTGATCAGATTGACGGTATTTTGTAAATTTCTCAACAGCTTTTTGATATTCTTTAATTTCAATATGTTTGTCTAAATAATCTTTTTAAATTTTTTTGTATCTACAACAAAGATACTAGTAGAATACCGATTGTATTCAGTACACCAAATACAGTATAATTCTGGCATGCCTTGGTTATTAATTCAACGATTAAGCTATGGATACTCCTTAATCCATCTTGGATCCCAATCAGATCGTATATGTGTTTTATCATTATTTTTTTTAGATGAATTTTTAGCAGAACTTTGATTATTATTATTTATATTTGGTTCATAAGGCTCAGTCGAAAAAAAATATTTATCAAGTGTATTTGAAGAATTGCTCATTATAACAAAACAAAATTATCTAACTTATTGTTAGTATGAAAGTAATAATTAAATTCGACAAGAATCCTTATATTTATATTTTAAAAATATCTACTTGTCTTAATAAGAAATATACGATTACTATTTTATTTTTGTTAATATAATTAATTGAATTAATAATATAAATAAAGAAATTGTAATAATATTTAAATTGATTATCATTACTATTACAAGTTAAATATCTTATCATTATAAATTGAATTAATAATATAAATAAGGAAATTGAAGTAATATTTAAATTGATTATCATTACTGTTATAAGTTAAACATCTTATTGTTATAATTTAAAATATGATCTCTTAAATAGATTATAATTGAAATTGCAAAGCTCATGATCATAACTATTGCTATTACTAAAAATAAGACTTATCATTATTTAGTTTAATCAGTTTCAAATTGATATCATTTATTAATATATATACGTAATGATTTTGATATATTTTGCCTAATTAGTCTAATAATAAAACTGGTTAACAGATAACAATAACAAGTATTAAAAAATTAACCTTATAATTATTATATGATTGAGACGCAAATTACTAACTCTTCCTGACGATCACTTGTACCAAGTTTTTTCTAAAAACAATTGCATTTTTCTCAATATTTTACTAAGTAAACCTATTCTGG